AGCGGATAAATGACCAATACGACATCAGTTCATGATATGAGAAATGCTTCAGAATATAAATGAAGTGATAAAGTGAAAAATGGATAAATATTGGAAGAGAAACAAGTAATAAGGTTAAATATCACTTGATTTTTTTCAAACTAATTAGTTGGAATTATAACTGTGAGGGAAAGTAGAACTGATATGATAATTGGATAAATGATAATTCATGTTATTTGTCATACATTCCAACAATAATTTTAAAAAAAAAATCATTCGAAATTTGTTGTAATTATCAAATTTATTTGTTACAAATTTTGGAAATTTTTCGAATTTGAAATTGCATCATTGAGATCATAATTGCATGACCTTTGAACTTTCATTTGAAGTGATTGGAAGAAGGATGCAATATGTTTGAAAGAAAAAAGCAACAATAATAGTAGCCGGGAATTAACCGAAAGATTGAAAATAAATAAGACAAAGTTTGAAATTTGAATCAGTCGATCAGATAAATTATAAATAATCACTTCAAGAAAATTTCGCTTTTTTCCTATTAAACTAAAGCAAACATTTAGAAAGTTTTTTTTTTTAAATTTGTTTATCACAACTTTAGCAATAATAGCAAGCGCATTTGGCAAGAGAAATCCATCCTTCAGTTGGTACACTTTCATTCCGTTCCGTTTTATAAAAACGGAAATAAAAAAACAAATCATTTTTTTTCACAACTCGGAAACAATGTATTCCATTTTCGGCGGAAAAGTAAATTTGATAAAGTAATCGTTTGAAATTCTTGCAAATTTCGTATTAGGAATAGATACAGTAATTACTAAGTATATAAGTAAGTTAACGTGAAATATACATATATTCCGTCTAAACGGTTTGGTAGAAGTAAACACTTAGCGGTATGAGATACGGTATTTAAAAAATGATGACGGATGGAGTTTATCGGGTATATTATATTATGGTATTTAAAAATACATTTCTTTCCATTGATTGGATGATCCTTATAGTCTTCGGTTATTTATGCACATCAACCAACATTTCCGGAATGAGAACCATCCAAAAGATCGTTTCAGTTTTTATTCCTAGTTGAAATTGTGATAGTTGAAATTGTTGTTTTTTTTTAATTTATGGGTTAATTTGGGAAAATTTAATAAAAACTATTCATCCTAATCATTTAACTCATTATTCCGCATGTTTTTTGATAACAAGATCTCATATTTTCCACCTTTATCATCAAACTCCTTATCAGATTTTTCAAATGTTGATGGTCAACTATTAGTGCGCTTCCGTATCAGTAGCTATCTTCATTTCTCAGTCTTTTCCGCATTGGTTGTCCGCACCTTGTTCCGCATATGTTGTTTCCGTTTCTTTCCATACAAACTATGAAAATATGAAAGAGATTGATGATATGTATATGAGTGTGTATGTGTATATGTATGTGTATGTGTGTGTATATGTGTGTGTGTGTATGTGTATGCATGTGTATGTGTGTGTATGTATGTGTGGGCGTATGTGTATATGTGCATGTATCATCCGATGGGAAAGAATTTGTTAATGAGTGAGTGAGTGAGATTGTAAGAGTGAAATAAATAGAGCGGAAAAAGTAAACGAAAGATGACGAAGGAAATAGTACAGGAAGAAAAGAAAGGAAGATTTTTGCCAAATTCTTAAAATTTTATAATAAATTGATAGAAAAAGGAGAAATAATGCAAGGATGAATAAGTTTTTGGAAGCAAAGAAAGTTATCCCTCAACTTATTTTTGCAATTGAAGGAGGGGAAAAGAAAAGAAGAAAGAGAGGAAGAGAGAGAGAGAGAGAGAAGAGATTACGAAAAAAAGCGCTTGTTGTTTAGATTGAAAAACGGATGTTTGTCTATTTAGCAGGGCGGTGAATTTGTGTACATTATTGCTTCCTCATTGGGGGGATTTTTCCTAAGTACTGATATATATTGTAAATATTTCCGAAAAGACATCCGGAAAAATGGAATTATTTTCTGGAAGAACCGGAATAAAAAAAAAGCAAACGGTTTTCATCTCATATTAGCAATTGATGAAAAAGCACTGATAAAGGTTATTGATTTAAGATATATCTCATCATTTGTAATCTCGTAATCATTCCTAATCAGCTCTTCATCCTTTCATAATCATTCCTAATCACCTCTTCATCCTTTCATAATCATTCCTAATCACCTCTTCATTATTTCATAATCATTCCTAATCACCTCTTCATCCTTTCATAATCATTCCTAATCACCTCTTCATTCTTTCATAATCATTCCTAATCGATTGATTGTAACAGTTTCATGATCATTTATGCAATTCACGAAATCATTGGTATTAAGAAGTTCCAGAAAACAGAAACAATAAAAGGTTCCAAACTTTTTTTGATATTTCTAACTAAAACTTAATTTTTTCTTTTTTTAAATTGCTTCTGAGACAAAAATTTCAACGTTTTGGAGTAAAAAGTTGTCAAATGTTAAGAATTTTAAAAAGAAAAAAAAACTTTAATTTTTAAGGTATGCGAAATTACTGAAATTTTTTATTTTAAGGTATGCGAAATTACTGAAATTTTTTATTTTAAGGTATGCGAAATTACTGAAATTTTTATTTTAAGGTATGCGAAATTACTGAAAGATGGATGAGTTAGCAGTGATTTTATCAAAGGAATTTTATCAAGAAAATTTTGGAATTTGCCAGCTTTATAGGTTTATGTCATTAATGGATTGCAAATTATCTGATAAATATTGAGCGGTAATTGATTATGGATGATAAGAATGTTAAAAGGTATGTCAGTATCAATGTTATGAATTCATCTTAAATTTGAAAACATAGGCCAACTATGGTACTGGTTTCTTCTAATGAAATTCAAATAAGAAATTGAAAACTGAAAAACACTTGTTGGTAGTGAATCATGACGAATTTACAGAGAACTAAAATAAAAGAAAAATATGCAACCGGAAGTTTCTAAGAAGTTTTTTAAGACCACAATTCACTGAGTACATCATATCACAAAACGATTGCTATCAGTGGACACTTCATCATGATGATAAAATGAAGATGCTGATAAGTTCGTCGAGGAAATCATTTCTTTGCTAAAACTCGTCCTTCACCGGCACCTTTTGCCATCCGGAAATTTAAGATATGAAGTAATTCTCCAAATATATATACGTCGTCTTTAAATACTTCATGTTCACTAAAACTCAATTCCATTTCACAAACATACATACAGAACGGCAAGGTCAAAGGCAAGATCATTCTACATCGTGCACTTGTGACTTCCAATTCCACACTGGAATATCTCGTCATAGTAAATTCT